TGGCTGCACTGGCAGCACAGTACTAAGCCCTTGTAGTTTGAAAGCAGCAGTTCCTCTCTCTTTGGCTGGCAAAACCTTGACTTAGAATGAGATGCTTTCTCCTTACTCTACTAAACAGGAAAAGAGGTGTTAAAAAGGCATTTTTGTCCAGTTTAAGAGACAGACCAAACCAAGTATGCTGGAAATGGATGGCAGAGGGGGCCTACAAAGGACCAAGTATTTTTTGTAATGAAGATTATAACCAATTTTATAGTCCTCTTGAGCTCAGTCTTCCTTTATCTGGTCTCGTGCCATCTCCAGGGCACAAACCACAGGCTGAGAAGTGTGGATAGGATGGGTGGTAAGGGGAGGCACAGTTTGCTTTTCTAGCTTGGACTGCAACTCCTGGGGGGCTTTAAGGAAGTTTCTGAAAGGGAAATGGATGATTTAATTGCTGCATTAGAGAATCTGTGGCTGTTTGTGAGTGCAAGCTGCTCCACAGCTTAATCACCTTACTGCTCACGGCTTTGTGCTCTCCCCACTGAACCGAGGGTACATGCAGCGCTGGCAGCCTCCTGAAATACATATTCAATATATTAAAAAAAGATCTCTTCAGGTAACTTTGCTGTTCAAGCTCAACTCATTCTTTTAGATTTTTAAGAATAAAAGCAAAGCAGAAATAGGGAAAATTAATCCTCTCTCCCTGCCCTACTCCATGTCCTGCTCAGAGCTGTATGGAAGATGGATGGTGAATCAATTCTAGAGAATCTGAAGAGCTGCTAAAACCATGTACTGGGTTTATTAAGCACCTATGCTGCAAGTCTGCCAAGGAATTGCAAGCAAGTGCCCTACAGCAATCATAAAGTAGCAGCACACTGGTGCTGAGCACACTGCAAAGCGCAACAAGATCTGAATCTCTTTGGGTGCGTCTTATTAGAATTTGTGTGGGTTGGGTATGCGGTTGCCTGAGTGTTTTGTTTCATTTGTTTCCCTTTACTTTTATTCATGTGGATGAAAATGCTGTCAAGGAATTGTGAAGCAAAGAGTGAGGCTTCCCTGTCATTGCCTGTGCGCTATTTAGAAATCATGAGCATGAAGATGCTGAAAGGGGAGGCTGGAATTCTATTCTAGGATTAATCCAGATTTTCTCCTTAATCACTCCTCCTTTATTCTGCCACCGGAAATCCTTCCAAGATTAAAGTTCACACAAGGACAGTGCAGGAGCAACAGCTAAGTACCACCTCACTCAAACCCCAGTACAGTCTTTCCACCTGTTCAGAGCAGGATTTAACCCAATTTCCCTTTTTCTTCCCCATAAGCATGGCAATAGCAGCAGTACTTGCTGGTGAGGTGCAAGCAGCACCATGGTGGGGACTGCAGCGGCCACAGCAATGCAATGTACAGGAGGACCCTTACCCTTGCTACAAAAGAGCAGAGCTCAACTGCTGGCAGTGACTGGCTGTCCAGGAACTTTTTAATTCTTTAAATTGACAGATGCTGCAGACATCTTGAAGTACTTATCCTGAAGGATGCACCAATGCTGTGTAAATCCTGCAGGGAGGTGCTCAGAAGTTAAGCAGTAGTTAACTGCTTAACTGTCACTGGCAATCATGCTCTCCAGGATTTTGCCTGGGGAAGTTCTAATGCACTGCTATAGATACATACATTTGCAGAAGGCAAGTTTTTTAAGAGAGCACAAACAAGGCTTCTCACTCACAACCTTTGTTTTTTGCTGCAATGCTATTTAACGCGAGATGGGAACAATTTTTATAGCTCAGTTCCAGCACAAAGGCACTTTAAATTAGAAGGTAATCTACCTACACATGTTCCAGGGGCAGCCTTGAATGACTACACACACAACTTCACATTAAATTATATTTGCACCTAGGCACTTCAGGCTCTGTACAAGGCCAGAATACTTTATCAGAGATCCCTGTGCAGCTAAGGAACCTTACTGATTTTCAGTAAATTATGCTGTCACAAGAAATCTAAGTAAGAGTTTTTAAGAAATCAAATAAACAGGGCTACAGAATGTATCTCATTATCCATAAAATAATTCAAAGATCCAACACAGCTTTAAGCTTTGCTCTTAAATCCCAACCCACCAGGGAAAAGAAACCACATAACCTGCTTCAGAGAACCAAATCACAACTGAGCAGCACAGTCAGAAACAAAGTTTCAAGGAACCGATCAATGAGATAAGGTCATGCAGTAAGGCAAAAGGAGGAAGCTCAGCTCTCCTTTGGGGTATTCTGCTAGCACAAAGCCACACAGATTAATTGTCCTAAACCCCTCTGCGCTGCTTAAGCACGTTGGTGGGTTTCTGGACTATATTATGCTTCAAAGGGCTCTTTCAGCCTAGAAATGCTACATACATTGCTGTGTCTCATTAGGCTGCAATTTTCTTCAATAACCTTCTGGCTTCAGGTGCTTTGATTGTGGATCACGCTGGCACACACATGCTGCTGTTCTGCTGCTCCTTACAGTCACATGGTGCCTAGACCAGCTTCAGTTGTAAGGAGGAGCACCCAAATCCACTCCCACCCATTCTCTTCCCCCCCCCCCCCCCCCCCCGATTTCCTCTCCATAGCTCTGTGCTCTGGGACTTGAATGCAGGGCAATTGGGCAATTCCTCCCACCCCAGTGTTACCGGGAACGTATTTGTTACACAGAGATACGGCACTGCTTTAAGATCTGTGAGAATTGTGTATTTCCCATCAAAAGACACTTATAATCCTGCAAGGAAAATCAGATTCACAGCTCTGCAGTTTCTTTTGACATCAGCAGTCATATGGGCTTGTGTTTCTTGCCAATCCCAAGTACCCGCCTGCCTTTTCCCTGGCTAGCACATCCCATGTCTCAGCCACCAAGGCTCAAACAGAACCTCACCTCCACTTCCCAAGCTCTGCCGGCCCTTTTCCACAGTGGGTTTTAGGATCTGTCACTGATGGACAGTGTTTTTCTATCACTACCACACTAAACCATCCATATAGATGAACACTACAGACACCCAAAGTCTTAAACACCCAGTCCAGAGAGGGACTCAGCAACAAGCATCTTGGTGGGATGGATGCCTGGAGACTGCTATGAGAGATCCAAGGAGACTTGGGTTCTTTTAAAAAATGGGATTTCAACAACTGGGAAGGAAGCATACCTATTATCACCTCGATGGCAGAAGCTTGCTGGGCTCCAGCCATTCCCTGGCACTTGGCATGTTACCATCCAACACTCCAAAGGACAACTTCTCCCTCCTGAACCAAGCAGTACCGAACATTCCCCATAGCACACAAACCCCAGCTGGTGGCTCAAAGGAGACACACAACTCAGATGTAAACTCAGCCCTCTTTGGTCTAGTGGAAGGTGTCCCTGCCCCTGGCAGGGGGCTGGAACTAGGTGAGCTTTAAGGCCCCTTCCAACCCAAATCATTCTGCGATTCTGTAATTCTATGTGTGATGAAGTCCCCCCAAAAGCCAATGGGCCTCCAAGACAATAGACATGCAGATCAGAGTAAAAAAAAGCCATTAACTTCCATCAACAGAAACATATTTTTCTTTCACAAATAACATCCATTAGCAGCTCCAAGGAGAACAATCCCCACTCTTCAGCTCTGAAGGAGTACACAGTTTTCCAGCAGCATAATACAAAGATTTTGCAGAATTCAGGCATTCAACAGGACTAATGTGAAAGATTATTTTGCAATTATCCAAGCAATTTTCTCTCCTCATTGTCCCTGGACCATACGGGTTTTTAAATGTGAGCAGAAGGATTTATTCATCACAATAATAATAAAATGAAATATTAAATCAATGAATCTCTTTGCATGAAGCATAAAGCTCACATTGCTATTAAGCTTAGTAGCGTCCTGTCACATAAACCACACGCAGTTTGTGTACTTAAGTACCATCTCCCCTTTTATTTTTCCCTTCCGCAATTTGTAAGGCATTATCCTTCCATTTGTCCTGTAAACACGACCAGATTCAGACAACACAGTGTTGCTTCTTGTTAGTGGCTCCATGCCTGTGCTCTCTTTATGAGGGCATGTGAAGATTTATATTTAATATTGATTTTTAACAATGGCCAGTGCAGAAAATTATGCTGGGATGACAGAGAAGTCCTAAAATAAATACATACATATATAAGTAATAATTTAAGGAGAATTAATTCCTTACAAGCAACACTGCCAATATGCAAGCAAGTAGCTTGGCATGAGAATGAGTGCTGGTCTTTCAAGGTTTGGCTGGGGAAAAAAATCAATCCTAACCTAAGCAAAAATCAATTACAACCTTTGGAGCATGGAAGCATTGGAGCAGTGGCTGGGGCTTGTATTTTCCTCTTTGCCATCCCTTGTAATATAAAGTGATAAATATCTTTCAAGGCCTTTGCACTAGGTGGGTCTCTTTTTTGTTTTTATGAAAGATTTATCTGGTACAGTGCAGAAACAGTCACTGTTTAGGTATTTACAAGGTGCCAACTGTCCCCACACTGTGACACTTAAAGAGCCGAAGCAAAGATTTTCAATAAACAAGAATCTCTAGCTTTAAGCCTTGAGATTCATATTAGGCTCCACACAAATAATTATTGTTTCATTAACACGTAGCAACTCTAAAGATCAGTATTTTTACAATTTAGGCTCTTCTGGGCAACAGCTCCTGTATTTTGTATCCCAAAGCCACCAAATGAATTCTCTCAGGAAAGGAATTCATCTTGCCCAAGTTAACACACCCATAGAGCACAGCCATCCACCTCTGAACATCCACCTCCCTTCAAAGCTGGTGTCCTTCCAAGAGCAGGAGCCATGGTATTCTCACGCAAACACTTAAAATGGATCAGATGAGTCATACCTGTAATCTCCTTGTTTAGTGATACAGCATCAAGATCAGGTACAGATATTTACAGACATGCAAGATGAATGCTGTCCTAGATGATTTAAGCTGAGCTGACACACTACAGAACACCTACAATCAACTTTAATGCACAAACCCCACAAGGAAGCAAGACCAGAGTAGCTACATCTTTCTTACCATGATTGGGACACCAATGTCTGGCCACAAGAGATCCTCAGAGGGAAGCTTGGGAGAGTTCCACACTACCACAACTTTATTTAAGTACGGGAGACCATTGAGCCTTTCTAGGGAGTTCATCAACACTTCCTCCCGCTCGTAAGTCAACATCACTACTGTGAATTGCTCCCGGGGGACGTTGCCACCCAAGGCAGCCTGGAACTCCTTCCCAGAGCCACCTGCTCCTCCACCAATTGGTCGAAATCCAGTCCCAGACCCCAAAAATTTTGCTTCTGATGGTAAAACAGGGTCAAAGGGAGTATAGGGGAAAAGGTGGAAAGGCCCTGGAGCAGAATTCCAATTCCTGTAGATGTCCATTGCAGTGAGGGTGAAATTGCGGAGATATTTAGGAGATGCATATGGTGGTTCTGTTTCCACAGGCCCCAAGTCCAGGTCACCATTGTCTGCCATATTGGGGTCTGTACCAGCAGCTTTGCCAGACCGGTGAGGAATCTCCACAGCGGTTTCTTCTCGGATAGGAGCAGCTGGTATTTGGATTCGAGTCCTTATGATAGCTAAGACCGTGCTGAACACATTGTCAGAGGTGGAGAAGTAGGTCTCCCACAAGAAGCGGCCCTGCCTCCTCATGGCAAGGAGATCATTGTCAGAAATGCTTCTCAGAAGAAAGTGCACTTCTGTGATACGTGGCTTTGGTATAATTAAGGCTGCCTCGTTCCACCGGATCACATCATTATAGGGTAGCTGAACTTGCTCTCCGAGAACCACTGGGATGGCTCCAACTTCCAGAGCCTCAAACAGTCTCATGGCACACCCGGCGGAGATCACTAAATGGGTGTCCCCCGGGGTGATTATCAGTGCAAAAGTAGATAGCTTCAGTAGCTCTAGTCTGTCATCCCTTTCTCCACACAGAGCCCACTCAGTGGGCAGACTCGCCTTAGGCTGGTTCTTACACGTGAACTCCACCAAAACAAAGTCCAACTTGCTGTCCTGAACAGCCTTCAGGGTAGTAATGATCCGATCGTCGTAGTCAGCTGGGGCATTGCCTTCTATTTCCTCTTCGAAAGAGCGAACCTCTTGCAAGCTAGATCTGAGAGACTCAATCTTCTCGCCCTGGAAACTAAACAAGTATTTACGCTTGACCGGCACCTGGGGTGGGATTTCTAGGAAATTGGGTTCAGACATAGCGTGGACCAGAGGTGATACCACAATATCAAACCCTGGTCGATACTGGACATCGTAAAAGGTGGACTGGGCAATCATGGCGCGCCCTGTGCTGATGTTGTAAATGAAGTTCTGAGTTTCCGATTTCCTTGATAAACTGATGATGAGATGGTTATGTCCATCAGTCCTCCAATATGGCAAAGAGTGCAACTGTTGCTCTAGTTCAGTAGGTTTTGGCATTACGGGCTCTTGCATTTCCCCCACTAAAATTATATACACACAAGCAATATTTGCATTTTCAGTAACATAAACATTAGTTCTGACAGTTGCCTCAAAGGCTTGTTTAATTAAAGGGTCTAAGGAACTACCAAAAGGGTAATCGTCACTGTTGTAGACATAGACTGGAAAGCCCGATGTCAACGGGCAGCGTGAGTAGTCAAAGCAGTTGTGCAGCCTGCAGTTCCGGTTGGATTTTGGCAGGGGGAAGGTCACATCGTCTTTGTCTGGCAGCAGCCGGATGGGCAACGAGAGCTTGGGCTGGTTCTGAGCCATCAGCTCTTTGTAGGAATGCTCAGTCTGGCTGATAACGTTCTTCAACTGCAGCAGGTCCTGCTTGGCATTTTCAATGCTCTTTTTGCAGGCCTCGATCTTCAAGTTGAGTTTAGCGATCTCGCTGTTGAGCTCCTGCCGCTTGGCCTCCAGCTGGAGCAGCTCCTCGCTGACCGACTCGCGGATGCGGCACAGGTCTTGCACATGCTTTACCTCACACAGCTCGTTGCCAGTCCGAGGGCCAAAGATGCGCTTGCCAGCATCGTCCGCATCATCGATGGTGGTTAGGTAGTAGTGGGCAATGAGGGGAAAGAAGACGAGGATAACGAAGAGGGTGAAACTAAGCCACGTGAGCCGGATCCTACTGGACCATCTCAACACCCATGGCTGGCCTCCGTTCCCCACTCCCCCATTCCGCAACATCGTATATCCAGTCATGAGTTCAAAAGTCGCTGCGCACCCAATCACGTTGGATCAGTAGCCATAACCAAAACAGTTTTTATAGCGGGTCTCTCAGAAAAAGATGTTATTGTGCCTGCTTAATGAGAAGCCAATACAAGGGGAATTCCATCTTCTTGTCATGCTGGCAGCTTTTCTACAGTTGTTTTGCTGCAGGCGCAACTTTTGATCCCGTTAGACTTGATCATTGACCTTCTCACCCACCCCCAGCCCACCCCCGGTCTGTGGGTAACCTTTGCTGGAAGTGTCACAGCGTTGTCATGGTGATTCAAAGTCTCAACTGGCAGAAGAAAAACACAATGGGATCAAGCCAAACTCCACCGCTGCTCTTGACATCCTGCATTACCATTCAATGAATATGCAGAGGCACCAGCCATTGTAGAGAAGCCAGAAGAGACTCGTACGAATATCAGTCTCTCTCATTGCTGCCGCACAGCTGATGCTCTGACATTCCTACAAGAGAACAATCATATATTCAGATAATGCAAACAAAACAACCCCTTAATGACTTAAGACACTGCTAGTTTTTAAAAGCTCTCTGCAGAAGAGCTACCTTTGCATATGTCTAACACCTCTGGGGTTAATACCAGTAAACCTGACAAAGTGATGGGATTCATTAGATGAGGACACATGGTTTTCTCTGGGCACTCTGCTTTTCATTAGGGTTACATGCTTCAGTGGCCAGACAAGAAAAAATTCACAGCCCTTGGATCTGGTTTCCTATTTCTGCCCCTGCCGCTGTCTCGCAGTGTAACTTTACCAAAGCTGCTTAGTATCTGCAAGTCTCTGTCTCCTCATGTACAAAACAGAGATATTAATGTAAACCTGCTCTCTCTTCCCACCTTCTAAATAGCACGTTGTGATCCTGGGACACAGCAGTGTTGTGAATTTGTACTGCATAACTGAGTGTAATGACTATTGTTCTGGCCTAGTGACTAGAGCTGCTGAGGAATTTTTAGATGAAGTGTTTTGCCTTCATTTCCTGCTGGAAAATCTTGATTCATTGCAAAAGAAAGTTTAAAGGGAATGTACTCATGCTGCTTATGATAACCTGTAGTGGCTGGCTGCACATGGGAGAGAATTTCTGGTTAAAACTAGAAGTCTACACTGTACATCAAAATCCAAAGTTAGGGTCCATTGTGTACTGCACCACCACAGTATAAGCTTGCTTAGATCTGCGTTTTTGCTTGGAAAACTCTGTGATGACACTGAATGCCTACCTAACATGGGTATAAAAAGGCAAAGATGTGGTAAATTCAGCTCCGAGTCTTTAGTCTGTACCTAGATTTAAATCTAGGCCAAATGAAAATGCTGCCACTAGAATTTCTGCCTCCCCTTTTATTAGCATCCTTCCGAGATACCCAAGTTGCTGGGATATTCTCTCATATACTGGACTTCCCACATCACTGGTGAATACAGTGCAGGGCTTAGCACTGACTCTTGCAGAGCCTCAAGAGAAGCGTATTAATTTCCGCTTCACTTTTTAATTAGAGGAAAGTCATCTACACTAGCGACGGTCATTTTTCACTAAATCTATTTAATGTTCCTCTCATCTACTCACCAACAGTTAGCAGAAAGAAGGTGAGGAAGCAAACTTCAGCTGAAACAGAGATCTGGAAACAGTCCAAAGAAAAAGAGAAGTTCATCTTAAAGGAGCAGAAAGAAGTCAGGAATAATTTTCAGTGTAGTACACAAGTGTGTGTCAGAAAACATAAAGGGAAGATCTGATTTTAACCAGGAAAAATCATACTGAAAAGGGAAACAACTGCAGTGATAAAACACAGTTCCTAGACCTACTTTGCTACACAGCCCCATGACTAACTGGGGAACCCCCCAGCCTGACCCACAACTCAGTACAGCAGTATGGACACTTAAATTAAGGCAGATTTTAAATTCATAATATTGTCTGGCAAACAGCACTGGTGTAAATCTCAGAAAGCCGGGAGGATAAAAGGGCTAAAAGTCAGCGAAAGGCTAAATCAGCTTTCTTGGATCTTGGCAGCGCAGTCGCTGCAGGCAGATGGGGGAGGCCTCAGCTCTGCTGGCAGGACATTTTAATACTGTTCTCTGTACACCAACTTGCATTTGCCCAGGCTGAGAGGGAGCCTGGTGATGAATGCAAATCCCTAGCGCTTCTGCACAGGGCTGTTAGTCAGGCCCAGGGAGCCCTGGCAATAGCAGTACACTTGTATCATGCCTCTGGGACTGCTGCTACCCAACAGAAGGGTTTTAGCACGCATCAGTGTACAAACCAGGCGACTGAAGGCAAAAATAATCACAAGTAAAAAAGCTTTTAAAGTCCATTTTTCTTTCTCCCGCTCTTCCCCCTTCCTTTCTAAGCTCTCCCCAGGAAATAAAGCTCATGCTGTCACTGTTGTGTGTGTGTACCAATTGGTCAGCCCCTGCTATTTCAACCTGGTCTCATAGGGGCTGCAAAGATCCTAGAATAGCTACCAGCTTTCTGCAAACAGCTGGCCAGCTGAGAGCTACCCTATTAATCCTTTTCTTGAGGGAAATAGCAGTGCACACACTCACATGAACACCAGTGAATCTGAAAACCAGCTTAATTTCAAGGCACGTGGGAAAACAAGCTCTGTTGTTTTTTCATTTGGGGATGCCATGGGGTAAGTGTGGTGTAATCCTGCAAGGTATTGAAACAACACAGAATCAAGGGATCATAAATGTGGTTAAGACAGAATAAGGTGGCACGTGCACAAGTTACTTTGGACTGGCCAGAGAAAACTGAAGCCTCAGACTCAATAAAGTAAGTCCCAAAGGTTACAAGCTGTGACTACATCTAAATCTTGTTTCTTTATAGCTGCTTTGTCTGTTTATGAGCCCTAAACAGTAATGAAATGGCAAACTGGACTACTTAAAATGGCAACTGGAGTCCTTGAAAAGCTAAATCCATCACCCCACACATGATCCTCTGCAGCTGTTCTGCCACCTAATCCTTCCCGTGGCTCCTCTGGTCCTTCCGTTGAGTTGACACGGAACAAACTTTATCCTCCTGACCTAAAAACGTGGGCTGTGAATTAAAAAAATGCATATGCTCAGAAACCGGAGGCTGACAAACTGACTCTGTCACTAGCTTGGGAAAGACCACATGGAAAAGACCAGAGCAGAATGGGAAGGATATAAAATGCAACACGCATGTCTTGGGATCAGTTAAAAGTATTGACTGTCAGTATGAAATATGTGCTGGCAATAAAGCAAGCACTTTAGACACACTCTCAGAATCTTCTTCATTACTAAGACTTTATTCCTCATCAACTCGATAGAGCCTGAGGTTGTAACACATTGCTATTAGGACTTCAAAAAAGAGGCAAAGTAAAAACCCAGTCTGTGTTTTTTCCAACAGAGACTTTAGTGTTGTATTTAAGAACAATAAGCAGCCCTGGAAAAAAAAGGCTGCTGATTTCCATAGTTTTTCAAAAGAAGTTTGGGAGGAGAAGAAACAGGTTAGCTGCTGGATTTTCCAGCCAATTCATTCCTCTCCCTCCCAAGTACTGTTTAGTCCTTTAAACTGACTGAGTCCCACACCAAGAAACTCTTGTTGACATCATAACACAATGTTGCTGCCTGACAGACCTAATTACGCACACACAAAAGATGTGGCATGAAGAGCTCTCAGAAAATCAGATGCTCAGTAATTATAAGAGACTCCTTCCAAATGCCAATCTAACTGACTTGCAGCCTTCAGTTCCTTCTCCCATGGCACAGGGGTGTGAGACTAAACTACTGGTGGAGTATGCTGTCAGATCTCAGTTCAAACCTCAGGCTGCCTTCCCAGCTTTCCTTAACTCTACAGTAGGCACTCCCTGTGCCAGAGAAGTCATGGGAATACCTGAGGTTCTCCCTAATTTTGCATTTCTAGTAGAAAGAGCCAAGGTGGTTTGATCTATGGATGCTCGTGGAGTCATTACTATGCAACTGTTCAGTCACAAAGGTCCTTATACAAACACCTGAGCACACCTATTCCTCCCTGCTTATGCCTCCTTTTGTCCATCTCCCTATAAAATGAAGAAAACACTGTTCCTTTCTCAGAATATTTGTGAGCAGAGCCCGAAATTTTAAACTTGCAGTCCTCCAATGCTTAACACAGAAACAAATAACCATTAGGAAGACTATGGTGACACAGAATGCACAGAACTTTCCAGAAGGAAAAGACATAGGGATTCTGCATCCGCTAAATGAGAGCTCCCAAACTCTGTCCCTAGGCATTCATACTCATCCTTAGCTTCTTTTCCTCATCAAATGACAGGTTTGCTATGTTACCTCCCCACACGTTCTGCTGTGCTGGCCCTCTCAATGGAGAAGGAAGCACGGTACACACCTGTCAGGCAGGCTCCCTCCCAACAAACAGCAAAGGATGTCAGGGATCTGTCCAGTCTCGAATAGACCAGTAACGAGTGGTGTCTCTCAGGGATCAGTGCTGGGACCGGTGTTGTTTAACATCTTAATCGCTGACATGGACAGTAGGATTGAGTGTGCCCTCAGCAAGTTTGCCAATGACACCGAGCTGTGTGGTTCAGTTGATACCCTGGAGGGAAGGAATGCCATCCAGAGGGACCTTGACACGCTTGTGACGTGGGCTGATGCCCACCTTATGAAGTTTAACCATGCCAAGTGCAAGGTCCTACACCTGGGTCGGAGCAATCCCAGGCACAGCTACAGGTTGGGCAGAGAAGAGATTCAGAGCAGCCCGGCAGAGAAGGACTTGGGGGTGTTGGCTGATGAGAAAATGAACATGAGCCAGCTTCAGCGTGCACTCGCAGCCCAGAAAGCCAGCTGTATCCTGGGCTGCATCAAAAGGAGCGTAACCAGCAGGTCGAAGGAGGTGATCCTGCCCCTCTACTCTGTTCTTGTGAGACCTCACCTGGAGTATTGTGTGCAGTTCTGGTGCCCTCAACATAAAAAGGACATGGAACTGCTGGAACAAGTCCAGAGGAGGGTCACGAGGATGATCAGGGGACTGGAGCACCTCCCGTATGAACATAGGCTGAGAAAGCTGGGGCTGTTCAGCCTGGAGGAGAGAAGGCTGTGTGGAGACCTCATAGCAGCTTTCCAGTATCTGAAGGGGGCCTATAGGGATGCTGGGGAGGGACTATTCATTAGGGACTGTAGTGATAGGACAAGGGGTAACGGGTTCAAACTTAAACAGAGGAAGTTTAGATTGGATATAAGGAGGAAATTCTTTCCTGTTAGGGTGGTGAGGCACTGGAATGGGTTGCCCAGGGAGGTTGCGAATGCTCCATCCCTGGCAGTGTTCAAGACAAGGCTGGACGAGGCCTTGGGTGACATGGTTTAGTGCGAGGTGTCCGGGGCCATGGCAGGGGGGCTGGAACTTGATGATCTTAAGGTCCTTTCCAACCCTAACTATTCTATGATTCTATTGCCACGTCACTTTTTCACCAGCACTAAAAATGAAATTTGGAGGGGGGGGGGGGGGG